TCCAATCATCACTAGTTATATACGACTATTTCATTAACACTTGCACCGCAAATGATTTTTGTGCAGGCATTAAATATCTCTTAACAGTTTTCCTTAGTTCATTAGATGGACAAGTTTCAAATAACTGTAAAATAAGTCAGATTTTCATTTCCCAAGACACGGAAAATTCTAAAAACAATTATATACATGAAGTAGTAACGTTCAAAGCAAATAAGACTCATTTGACAAAGAGCATAAAATATATAAATCTAAAAGACTACTTCGTAGAATCTTTAAGCATGAAACACAGATTATGATATAAAATAGCAGATCAACCTTTTGATGGGTCAAGACATTCTGGCATCCCATCATCATTGGTATCATAAGAAGGTGCAGCACGAGGATGCTTGCTCGCATAGTTTTGTTGCAAAGGTCTTGGAATTTGAAATGAAAACTGTGACAAGCTAACTTCTTTGTATTCTGGATGATCATTCAGGTACCTTAAAAGACAAAAAGAATCAAAAACCGCAAAACAAATGCAAGTAATGATCCAGAACTCTTAAATATACAACCTCCAACATTATTCACTAGCATATGCACTGGGAATGAACAATAACACACTTTTATGATTATGGATCTACTTTTATAAATCCAATGAGTTTATAAATCCAATGAGTAATTTCAGCATTCAACATGTATTCATGAATAATCTCACGTTTCAATTAAATTTTACCAAGTTCAATGTTAGCCAGATTTGTCAACATTGGGGCTATACCTCATGATTTTTGAAGAGTAAAAAGAAATATGACAGATACAAAAGAACCAAAGAAGAAAATTGTTTTAGCACAACAGCACCAAATCATCGTCGATGGACGAGACGGGGAATAAAAAATCTTCGGTTGGAATTGAGGATATATTATCTGAGGAATTTTTAGTACAATAATTTTCCATTTCTTTTTCCCTTGAAGGTAACTGGTGGAATTGCAAATGAAAAAAATCCCTTTCTACAGTTAAACCTTTCGACTCATTCCTCCATCCCTTGAACGAAAAAGCAACAGAATCACCATCACATGCTTTAAACACCCTCCAAACAAAAAATAATAATAAGTAAAAACTCCTAGTGTTTTGTATTAGAGATTCTTTGATTGTATGTGTCTCACAGGGCCGCCTGTGAAAGGAGGGCAATGTTTGTGGTAGTTGGAGTTGAGTGGTCAGCATTGGAGACGTCAGACTGTGGATGTGGATGCAGAGGGTGGTGGGTGAGGTCGGTAATAGTGTCATTGGTAGTGAAGGCATCTGGAGTAGGTTGGATGGAGGGGGCGAATGGTGAGGACTGGATGAGATGAGGAGGGACAGATCGCAATTGCAGATTGAGGAGAGAAACATTTTTCTATTTTTAGTTTTATTTTTCTTTTTCGAAAGAAACTAACTTTTGGCAAAGGGACTCTCTTACATTATTATAGAGATGCATTAAGAAAAATAAAAAATAGAAGTCCGGGCATTTCTATATTAATCAAGGGGGGATTTTACCTTTGAACTTCCACAATAGATCGAAGTCTCTTGCCTGATGGTGCAATATAATACCTGTGGATATTAAAACAAACGCCATTAGAATAGGACTATAACTGTTTATTTACCATATTATAAATAATACATTAATTTTTTAAATCGATACTAATATGATTTCACATTCATTACGTGTTATATGCTTTTAATCTGATATGAATAAATAGATCTCCCATGCAACATGGGCATAGCTCCTATTGAAATTCTTTTATCAGACTCTTATGAAGGCAAATCAGAAGGATGAGTTCCTCTTCTATGAACTGATTCAACAGGTATGCAAGAACTGAAGTTCTTAATCCAATGCTAAATTTTATATTGATCCATTTTCATACTGCTTTATCCTTGAACAAAGCAAGCACTTCACAGTATTGGCAAATCAGAAGAATGGGTTCCCTCTGCATGGAATTGATTCAATTCTCTATTCAGCACTAAATTTTAACTCTGAAGCACTTCTATAATTGTTTATCCCTATACGAAGCAATCACTCCACTGCGTGGGAAAGTCAGGGAGATGAGTTCCTTCTCTCTATGGAATTAATTTGACAGTTAAATGTCCTGAACGTCTAAATGGAAGCAGTTAAACCATGGAAAGAGAACATTATGAAGTTGCATTCAACATCACAATAAAGACAGGCACCCAAAGGTTCACTCAATAGTTGCACTATTATATATATTTGTGTTGAGCAGTTAGATGATTTTAATAACACATTTCATGGGACCCCGCAACTTTTCAACCACACATGTCATCAACTTTTATCAAATTCTACTCAAAATCTGATTTTAATCCCCAACAAACAAGAGCTTAAATTTTAAATGAAAAACTGGATATCTTTGCAATGCATAGGCTCCATGTTTTCCATGCTCAGCTCCATAGTTTGTCTTAAAAGCAATAAATAATAAATAAATAAATAACAGGATGCTTACACATCTGCAAACTTTGAGCATTTTTCACCTCTGATTCTTAAAATCCGTTGCCATCCAGGAGGGGGCCGAGCAATGTTGGGTTTGTCAATTGCCCAAAGCCTACTTCCATCTTGTGCAATATCAGGCTGATCATTACATGATATCTCAGGTTGCCACCCACGAGCTGTTTCACACAAGAAAGGCCGTTCTATAATGTGTTCCCTTATTTCCTCATATATCTCCTTTTTGGGAACGAGCCTCCATTTGAAACAGTCGGCGCATTGAACAGCGAAGGCCCCTATAGATCGCAAAACCCCGGGTGTCCGATTTGGAGAATCAATGTGGCCCAAAGCAGGTAGCATTTCACCAGCACCAGTGGCAGCAGGGTCATAAAGCACCAACTGCTTTTGAACATTTTCAGAAGATTGATTTGCTTCCTCTTCCATATTATTATTTACTAACTTTTCTGTTGAGGCAACATCTCTTTTAACCTGAGGAGCGGTCTCCAGGCAACCTGGCAGATTTGAACTCTTTGAGATATTTGGTTCTCCTTCCATGTTCATTGAGCAATTTTTTCCTCCCTTTCCAACCATTGATCCTAAGTTTTAGTGATAGGGGCTGTATCAAGTTCATGCATCAACAACCTTATTTACAAGAAACTATCACTGTTTTTAATCCAACAAAGCTTGGCTAAACCTAGTAGAAACTAACCAGCGATTAATGCAGCATTTATAGCAGAAAAAGCTTCCAAACTGTCAATATAAAGAGAAACATTTTTTCAATCTCATCCTCATATTTTGCAATTTTCTAAAAGAACGCATTCCCAATATAATCAGAATCATTTAAGAAAAATCCCAACCAAATATACATTCCCATGTGAGGAGGTTATTATAAATAATCTAAGACGAAAACAAGCAGTTTGATCTTCATTTCAAACCTTCTGACAGAAAGGCATCACCCCTCATTCAGATACAGAAGAAAAAATGCAAAATTTAGCAATAAATTCATGGAAAGATGCAGTTGTAATATAAAACCACAAATATTAAACCCAACAAACAATTTAATAAATGGCACGAAAACAAAAGTATAAAAGAACACTCACGCAATGGTTTCCCTCAGTAATTGCGCTATGATGTTGCATGATGAATATTGAAACAGATATGTAGCCTATATTTTATTTAGTAGTAATAAAATAGAGAATAATTTGACACGAATTTGCTAATTATGAGTTGGGCGTTTTGAATCTTTCCCAAAAAATATTGCAACCAATTGGCCATCACATGGAAAGTTCAAAGTGTGCATACACTGGTATTTATTATTAACTACACATCATCTCTAAGTGGAAACCCTAATGTAGTACATGTTTCTCACCATGGTGCACAGCTAGTATATTGCTAGCCATGTTTGGTGCTCAGATAAGTTAATTCCTCCAGATAAATTACACGTTAGCATGTGATGGCCTAGTGCTCTTTATATATAAAATGACGAGAAGCATCTAAATGATGGCAAGATATCGCAGCAGCCTCTTAGAGTTGACAAATTGGAGTGAGGCAAGGACTGTTTCAAGGCTCAAGCTATGATTTAGAGGACAAGCAACCTACTTGGGAGCTTGGATACCCAGAATATAGTTTGTTTTCTAATACATAGTAAGGTTTAAAGAATAAGTATTAATAACACTTATCCATTGAACAAATAAATAGAAGTTGCTTAAGTGATAAAATGCTAATCTTTATAAGATTAAAATATTAAACAAGCAGAACACAAAGGAAAGCTCATGTAAAATCGGCTACAAGAATAATGTCATGCAAAATTGGAAACCAAATAAGCTCTAATCGCCACTCATCACATGCACCTCAAGTAAAGCATAAAAGAGAAGCCGAACAGAGCATCAAAATATTACTAGATAACTTCTGTTCAAGACTGAAAAACTCATCAAAAATGGTCATTTGCCCTTTGACACTATTTGTCAGTCCTTTCCGAGAAGCTTCTCAAAGCTGATATCATTGATAGAAAACAATGTTGAAAAGATAAGTAACAGAGTTTAGAATCTGATAGTAGAGAGCAAGATAACGAGGTCGCCAAATACAATCATCTCTTTTTCATCAAATATGCTTACCAGAAACAATATGTACATGGCTACATCTTGAGAGAGGAAATATCGCATATATCTGACAACTCCCAAGACAAAAGGGGCATGGTGACTCCAAACAACAACAGAAACATAAAGCAATAATATGTTGAAATGTTCTTGAAGATGTTTTTAGGGATGCAACCATGCACAAGTATCGCCATTATTCAACATTCATAACATATTTCAAATTTCTATATGTTGAGGACCTGAGGTCTTCAAATTTTGTGGACTCAAAATTTTTCGTCACAATATTCCATAACAATTAAGTGTTTGTGCAATAAGAGAAAAATTGACCATTTTTGACAATCAGAAAGACTTTAGAATAACCATCACATATTTCAGTTGACAAGCTGCTCTATGACATGCAAATCCACACTTAAATTTGATCACATCAATACAGATACCATCAGAATACTCGAACAACAAACAGAATTTGTTAATTCCATATTCTTGTATCCATAAGAGCACTATTCCTGCAGTAAAACAAAATCAAGTCTTGTTCAACAATCAGAAAGACTTAAAAACAAAAATGCAATTTTAACTCCAAAAACTATGGACGGCATCCCATTACTGCATCATTTATAGACTGTAAAGATAAGTCCATTCACATAAAAGTCATCGAACCAAAATTGAAATAGAATATTTTGAGAAGTCCAAAAAGGGTTTTACATAACCCATGTCTAAAACAAAAAAAAAAAAAAAAAGGCTTACAATTAAGAAAAAATAAAATCCCAATATCGAGAACAGATCAAGAAATGTACAGATAGAAACAGACATAGGAAAGTTAAACAGCTGAAATTATCAGAAATCTTGAGCTCTCGCTCTATATACAACCATGTGCACATACAAAAACATAATTACATATATACACACATATACACCCAGCGAAAGAGAGAGAATGAACAGAAATCAAGATCGGCGAGATCTGAGGGGATGATGACCAACCGTCAATTCGTCCGATAATTTCTGTATTAATTATGTATGCAAATTCTGTATATTTGCAAAATGTGTTGCTGAGGTTTTGTTCATCTCGAGACGGGGATATTGGTAAAGAGGGGAGAGAGGTTTCATCAGTACGTTAGAACAATGTTATCTATTACACTAGTGCACGAATAATCTGTTTGAATTCGCTCATAAGTCATCCCATATGGTATATATGTCATGTTAGTGATTTTATAGCACTAATTTAAGTAATCATATTTGGAACATGTTTGCCCAGAATTAAAATTCAATTTTAATTGAAAATATGATCGTTATTGGATTTCATTCGTCTAACAAAAGTCAACAATAACGGCTAATTTTTCAATTTTAATCCAATTTTAATCTCTACCGAACACGCCCTTGATAAATTTAATTAAATGAATGATTTGATAAATTCAATTATATGAATTATATGACATTGTATCAAAGTGAATATATACAATTCTCATTTAAATTGATATTTTGTAGACTTTTATGGATTTTTTTAAGTGATAACTTTTGTAGATTTCGTACTTTTTATAGATTTGTATAGAATTAACAGAAGAGCTTAATAGCACAAAACGTCTCTACGTTAGGCATGTAGTGTGCAAAACGTTCATAAGTCTCATTTTTTTGCATTTTCGTCCTTATTTTAACGTTTCAGTGCGGAAAATGTCACTTTCACAGTTTTTAGTGTAAAATGACCAATATACCTTTCTATATAAATAAAACAAAAAAAGGAAAATAAAAATAAATTACAATTATA